TCCTTCATGAACGATGACCATTCCCGGTGCAGTTCCCTCTGATAGTTGCTGAGACATCAATTTGCCAGTAATCTTGTCTTCCTCATAAATGGTGCGAACATTGAAGAAAACGGCGGATTTGGCTTTCGTAGAAGGTCTTAGAGGCTGCAGTCCTTCGTACTTGATCGCATTCTTCCTCTCCTTATCGAAATTCGGAACCCTCGGCAAAACCTGGAATTCTGAAGGCTTCTTGATGCTCTTGGGGGATTCTAGCTGGGATATACCATCGATGAAAACTTGCTGCAGTAACAAATAAGGCGATGAGACCGGAAAGATGTGGATAACTGGGGCTTACGATTGGAGTTGCTCCAAGTGCCAGAGGGTGAGAGTCCCAAATCACAAGATCTAAAATACTAAGATGAATTCGAACATATCAGATCGTACTGACCGGCATCATAACCTAGGTTATTCTCCTTAGACTATATAATAAATAGGAGAAGAAGCCACTCACCTGCTTTCACATAGCCTAGTCGATGACCAAATCCTTGTAGCTCTGCCGGAGTGGTGGTCACGGAAGCAAGGGCAAGGTCATGATCGAGACCATAAAGGTGAGCTTGCTGTGCTTCATAGAGTAGGAACCGCGAGTCAAGCACAGGATGATCAGACTATGGGGCGAGTAAGTTGAATATTAATGTGAAATTGCGATGATTTAGCGCAACTAACCTTCATGACAACTTGGAAGCCTTTATCTGAAAGAATTCGAGGAGCAAACTCTGTACCACGGTATGCTTCTCTCTTGTAACTGTTTGATAGATTATCAAAAGGGTTTGATTAAAGAGGATGAAAGAGCACTACAAACCGAGCGTTCGTAGCAAACAAGGCAATTGCCGGTGGTGCACCGTACATCTTCTTCAACAAGTCTGGAACAAGATATGCTTCATGGGCATGATGAAAAGCTGATAGAATGATCAGTACGTATTAACTGCCAGCTGACAGATGGAATTTACAGTTGATCGAAAATTTGAACTCGTTAGTGAGCTGGGAATGAAAGTCAGAGGACAGTTAGGTGAGGTGCCAAGACATACTCGGATTTGTTGATCAAAATCTACCGCCTCATAGCAGTGATTGTTGATCTTGACTCTGCCCCTTAGAACATCGACGAGGGCTTCCCATTGGAGGCTCTCTGGGTATTCATCCGGTACCTCGTTCCACAGACCAGCTTCTACTTTGGCACAAAAGTCATCTTGCTTTTTCTTGATTTTCCTGGCCTCTTCGTATGACTTCCTGAAGCTCCATTGAGTGTCCAAGCGTGTGAAACCATAGACAGCTGATGGATTCTCGCCACATGCATGCCTGCCGACCTGTTACCATACTGAATTATGACACCACAAGGTACATACTTCATGTGTCTCCATCTGTGAGGGAGAAGTGGGCTTTTAGCTGAGGAATTCATTGTAAAAGGAGGTTCCAAGACCATAGAGGATGGGGAGCGCTCAACAGTTGATCGCAGTTTGATGGCAAATGCTTGCCCACCTAGATCAATTTCATAAGACTAGTCGAAGTGTACGATGTTTATGGAGTTACCGATGGCATTTGCAGAACCCGGGAGGATAAGAGATGTCGTGACACCTCCGGCGATAGAAAGGTGAAGCTAGATGCAATGAGTTGCAGTCGGGATCTTTACGAAGATTACTTACAGATTCATCATGGGTGTTAAGTCCATCAAGACTCCGTAGCCAGGGTTGAGCTGGGCCTTTGAGAGAATTCCCGTCTGATGCGCCTAGAGAGGGGAATAGCGCAGGTTTAAGACACATTGAAAGCAAGAATGACATTGAGCAATACCTTGTAGCTCCGGGCTTGAATATACACCAATATGTGAGTGCATATCGAATATACCCGGTGTTATCTACACAGGAATGAACAGGAGCGCAAGAGCGATAATTCATACTTACCCATGCTGGTACGAGCGTAAGAGAACATAGGGACTGAAGAATTCATGTACACACCTCCAGCTGCATCGATGGTGTCATAGTTCGACGGAAGGTCGCCCTTCGTGATATGTCCGACCTTGACAATAAGTCCTCTGAGAGGGGTATTGGTTTAGCAAACAGTGTTTATTTAGTGTTTATTCGACTCATACTTGTCAATTAGGATGTCTCCAGATTCATAGACACCTTCACTTCGTCCAATCCAGATTGTTGCATTCTTTATATAAGTCGGTACAGTTCCTGGAACGAAACGATCTGATTCCGAACGTGAAGAAAAATTGTCTGGAGGACCGGGAATGATCTTTAAGGAGGCACAAGTGTCCAAAAGCTCCTCGGCATGTAGAGGACGATGGTGAATGGCAGTCGCTCGACCGGACTGTTGGCGAATGTATATCGCGCCCGTTAAGAACAGAGAGGCCGCTATAATCAGAATGGCTCTGGCATTGTGACGAAGGCGCCGGTCGTGCACTTGGTCAACAAGAGCTTTCATGGTCGACAGTGAACTCTTGCGCGTTGTCAACTCCGCTCGAAAGTTCTTTGCTCAACGAGTCCACATGGCGGCGAGACCGAAACCACCAGTGGTTCAACCTGGAGTTAGTTCAATTATCGTAAATCCAGTACAAGTATGTTATTTCCAGGAGGGTAGCAAAACATTGACTGATTCATGTTCGTTTGCCACTCGCGAATCAAAGCGAGGAAATCCTCTGCTCTCAAATATAAGACATGTCGCTTATCAATTCGCGGAAATTGTTCCCGATTTCCAGGTGGGAAGCACGACCTGCGTTCTCTTTCTCAGGTAGGTGTTATGCTTGAGGCGTCGAGTTGGTCATGAGAAGTGACGAAAGGTCATTGAAGCTTGAAATACCATCGGTTGCACCCTGAATATATTCATGCACGTATAGAGAAGCTTCAGGGGATGTATGGCCTGCGGATACTCTTGCTTGTTTGCGATGTGGTAAGTGGCAACCCTTATTGTCCCTCGGTTCACTGGCGGATTTATATAGACAGAGCATCAGGACTATATTCGAGAGCTGACCCGAGTATGTAAACCGATGCCCAAATTTTCTATGTCTCATCTGAGTTCAGGTAAGCCTGATCAACAACTTGACTATCATGGTTGCTTGGACGTACGTATCTATCTTATGAGCGAAGAGTAATAACAATGAAAGAAATTATATCTACCAGACTCGAAGAGGCAGGCGTATATCTCTCGACCTATAAACTTTTCGAACATAAACCACCAGACTTGATCAAGGAGCGAGTAGATAATGTGAGACACTGCCATTTCGAGTGTCCTTGTGGTTCTAATTGATTTAAGGACTACTCTTCTATACTACGCTCCGCCCTTACCTCGATCAAAGGTGTAAACAAGACGGATGTCATGACATTACGTTCCAACTTTGGTGTAAGTGCTAGTTTCATAGAAAAACATCGTGAAATAACAATAAACCCAGTCATTTGCGAACATAGCCA